ATCTATTTATATACATATATATATATATCTATCTATCTATCTATCTATCTATCTATATATGTTAAACGAAATGATAGCAATGAATGGAAGAGAAGAAATGCACATCCATTCATGTCCCTTGCATCACCACCATTAATGCAAATAAAATGCATTTGTAACCTGCCATTTATTTCCCTATTTCAGTTTAAGACTTAGAGCAGTATAAATAGGACCTTGTTTTCCTTATACTGACATCTGAGATTGAAGCAATAGATTAGAGTATCTTTTTCATTTAGTTTTTAAGCCATTGTGGTATCAGAACTGGTCCAAAGAGCAAAAGAGTGAGGTGAGAGTTGAGGAATTACGTCGGATAAGAGAAATATTTAGAGGAGAAGTCACTAACATCTTTGAAACTTGCAATTCAGATGTTTTTTTTCTAGAAAGTAACATCATTATCGTGCTGAAGTCTAGAAATGTGGAACAAGAGGTTCCCTATCGCTAGAAATGCTGTCATGCTCCACTGTTTGAAGCCCACGTGCCATCACCATCGATCCACACACCTCATGTGCCTGTTGGAGGTTGAAGACACTAATGTCATCCACCACACCACCTTTTTGACTAGTCAATGACAAGTCAGACTAACCAAATTCTACCATGTGTCAATGCAGCCATGTCATCTTGCCCAATTAGCCCTATTTCCCAAAATTGTAGTTTGATCTCTAACCTTTATTTTTATTTTGACCCCTAGTCTTTACAAAATGCCATTTTGACCTTAAAATTTTTTAAATTCCATTTTGGCCCTTTCAAAAATCATTACTTGACCCATTATTTTACAAAAATACTTTATTAGCCTCATTATTACCTAAAATTTCTCTTTCTACCCTATACCCTTAAAAAAATTACAACCACACCCCTATATTCATTTTTCAAAAGTCCTAACCTTATAGAAAATACTCCAAGATGCCTCCAAGACGCAAGAATGTACACAATGTTGAGATGGGAGAGATGAGATGTAGGATATGGGAGTTGGAAGCTATGTAGAAATGCAATGAGCATTATTAGATAATAATAGAGAAAACCTAAAAGGAGATTCAAGAAGTAGTAGTTTGTCATCCACTGAAAACCACCGTCATCCTCAATAACAACCATTTCGTCCTAATGACATCTAGGTAAACATTCCTAAATTTGAAGGAAGACTCCAGCTAAATGAGTTCATAGACTGGCTTCAAATTGTTGAACATATATTTGAAAATAAGGAGATTCCAGATACACAGAAAGTCAAGAAACATGCCTCCGTTTAGTGGGAAAACATCAGGTGGAAGTGAAAATGTGAGGGAAAGCGCAAAATTGAGACTTGGGAAAAAATGAGACACCATCTCACCAAGAAATTTTTACCATATCATTACTACCAAGATAACTTTCTCTAGCTGCAAAATCTTGGATAAAGGTCTTTATTTGTAGAAGTGTATACTAGATAATTTGAAAAAATTATGATGAATATGTAACATTCAGGAGAAGGAGGAGCAAATAATAACCTGATATCTTGCAATCTTATCATTTACATCAATCATCTAGTCTAGCTTTAGCAATATTAGACCTTAGATGATGTAATTCATCTTGCCATTTGTGTTAAGAAGCAAATGCCCAAGAGATCATTTCCAACCCTCTTCCTCCAGGGGCTATTCAAATGCTTATAAGGTACAGTTTCAGCAAACTAGCCCCTTAAGCAAGCCACAATCTAGTGCTTGCGCAAGCCACTACTAAATGTTGCTAAGGAATCTGGTTCTAATGCACCCAAATGCTTTAAAGACTAAGGATTTGGGCATATTGTTGCAGATGTCCAACCTAGAGGGTTATCACCATTAGGGAAGGGCAAGTGTTTGAAGCACATGAAGAAGATGAGGAGAAGATTGAGTCTTATGAAATTGATCTAGTATATGAAGAAGAAGTTACGCCTATAGATTAGGGTAAAGCATTTGTGATTAGATAAAGTTTGTATACAACTATAGTTAAGGAAAAACCTTAGCCACGATGCAACATTTTTCACACTCATTGCATGGCCTAAGAAAAAGTTTGTAATGTCATTATTGATAATAGAAGCTATGAAATTGTAGTATTTGACCACATGGTGGGAAAATTGAAATTACCAATATAAGACCATCCACATTCTTACAAGCTTCACTGGCTTAATAAGGGGAATGAGGTAAAAGTTTCTAAAAATTACCTTGTGACTTTTTTTATTCGGTGTAGGTATTATGATGAAGTTTTGTGTGATGTTATTCCTATGGATGCATACCACCTTTTAGGGAGACCATGCTAATTTGATTGACATGCTATGTATAAAGAACATGTAAACACTTATTCTTTCACAAAAGATGGTGTCAAGTTCACATTAGTGCCTTTACAGCCTAGTGAGATTAGCCAATCTTTGAGGGAATCTAAGCCATTTGTATTTTTAATAACCAAGGAGTTTAAGGTGATAAAGTCTGAAGCCCAAATAATGAGTTTTATTCTAGTGTTAAAGATGAATGATGAGTCTACCAATCTGGCAAGAGTTGTGCCTTTATTATTTGAATTTTTAGATTTGATATGTGATGAGATATCACTAGGGTTGCCACCTATGTGAGACATACAGCATGCTATTAGCTTTGTTCCAAGAGCAATTATTCGTAACAAGCTTGCTTACATGATGAGTCCCTAAAAACATGCCAAAATCTAATGGCAAGGTAAAGAGCTATTGAAGAAAAGGTTGGTTCAAGAAAGTATCAGCCCTTGTGTTGTACTTGTTCTTCTAGTATTTAAGAAGGATGGGAGTTGGAGAATGTACATTGATTGTTAAGCTGTCAACAAGATCACTATCAAGTATCAGTTTCTAATACCCTAACTCAATGATATGTTAAACCAATTGCATGGTACCACTACCTTTTCTAAAATTGACCTTCATATTGGGTACCACTAAATCAAAAATTAGCCAGAAGATGAGTGAAAGACCACTTTCAAGACCAAAGATAGCTTATATGAGTGGAATATGATGTCTTTTGAGTTAACAAATGTCCCTAGAACACTCATGGCCTAATGAATCAGGTATTGAGACCCTTCATTAGAAAATTTATTGTTGTTTATTTTGATGACATTCTTATTTATAGCAAGAGTCAAGATAAACACTTAAAGAACTTACGACAAGTCTTGCAAGCCTTATGAGAGAAAAAGCTTTATGTTAATCTCAAGAAGTACCACTACCATAAACTAAGGTTTTGCAAATGCTTATTTTGGCTAACGACAATGCTTTTAAAGTGCTGCCATATATATAAGAGTGCTTTTGAAGTGCTCCTATAAGTTGAAGATGTGGGAGCACTCATCTAAAAAGCACTTCCATAAATGTAACATATAGGAGCACTTTAACATAAGTTGAAGATATAGGAGCATTCATCTAAAAAGTACTCCCATAAGTGTAACAAAAGGGAGCACCTTCTATTAAAGCCTCCTGTAAGGCTAAGAAAATTTTAAAAAAATAATATACTTACAGGAGTACTTTCTAATTAAGCGCTCTTGAATATTTACATACTGGTTCTTATGGAGTGTTTCTCACCTTCAATGTTGCTAATCTATCTCCTTACATTAATGACAATGTCAACCATGAAATTTAAGGAGGATAAAATAGAACAACAGTAGTAAGTGAAAGAGAAGAAACACGTATCTGTTCATGTCTGTTGCAACACCACCATTAATGCAAATAAAATGCATTTGTAACTTGCCATTTATTTCCTTATATTCAATTTAAGACTTATAGCAGTATAAATAAGACCTTGTTTTCCTTGTACTGACATTTGAGATTGAAGCAATAAACTAGAGTATCTTTTTCATTTAGTTTTTGAACCAATATATATTCTTTTCATCAATTGATTGCTCTTAATCTCCTTGATGTGAGGTGACTTTTCCTATCTTCCATAGCTAATAATTCTTAAGGTATCAACTTGATTATTTCCTAGTTGTCATTGTTATTTTCATTATTGGTATTGCTATTGCTATTGAAAAACAATCTAGTACTGATATTATTGATTTGAATATATACATAAAAACATCCAAACCTAGAGCCCAAAAGGGAAACAAAATATGTTTTGATTAAAATAAAATAAAGTCGATTATACAATATGTTTAGGTCTTACCAACTAAAGTTAGCGTGAGTATTATAGGCTTTCTCACATAAGCGACTAGTTAGGGGGTTTGAATCCTAATTCTTATGTATGTAACAATTTAGTTAGAAGATATCTACCTTTTGCCTTCGGTACTTTGGGGGAGATAATCTCTAATATTGGTGGAATCTATTTCTTGTTCTTATGAAAGAAAATAGCCCACATACTTGTACAATATTACAAGAATATCTTAACTATACACTAAACTTATAACTAGCTACAACATTTCAACATTTATTTATTTAATATTTCTCATTGTACTAATTCAAGGAAAAATTTTCTCAAGGTGATTTTTCCTATTTACAAAACTTGAACATAAGATATGACTTAATAAGTATTGAGTCTTTGTGTTACCAAAAAAAAGTACTAAGTCTTCTTCAGTCAGCAAACTATTGATATGGTTTCTTTGGAGCATTATTTTTATGTTAATATGCTTTCCCCTTGACCACCAGATTTAAAAATCATGACAACTTGAATTTGCTCTTGTAGTAGCTAGGTTATTATTTTCTTTAGATATACAAAATAACCCTTGATTATTCATTTCCTTCATTTAGGCCAGAGACAAAACTCATTGAAGAAATTACTAAAGAAATATGGGCAAAGCTACAGCCTAAATTACCATATTGTTTCCATGATGAGCTTGTTGGCATTGACTCTAGGATAGAAGAAGTGAATACACTTTTAAGAATTGGATTGGTTGATATTCACTTAATAGGAATATGGGGTATGAGTGGTATAAGAAAAACAACTCTTGCAAGAATTATTTATGAGAAAATACATTACCAATTTGACATTAGTTGTTTTATTGCTAATGTAAAAGAAAGTTGCATGACTAACGGTTTTGTTGGCTTACAAAGAAAACTTATTTCCAAGCTCAAGATAAGAGACTTAGAAGTTGATGATGCATATGAAGGAAAGAATTTGATAAGAAATTTGTTCAGCAATAGGAAACTACTAGTTGTGCTAGATGATGTAAGTGAAATAAGCCAACTAGAGAACCTTTCAATAAAGAAAGCATGGTTTGGTTCTAGAAGTAAGGTTATTGTGACAACTAGAAATATACAAGTGTTGATGGTGCATGGAGAATTTGAAACATACAAGGCTAAATTATTAAATGATGGCGAATCTCTTCAACTTCTTTGCAAGAGGGCTTTTAAAATGGACAAACCTAAAAAAAATTTTCTCAAGTTATATAAAAGTGTCATCCACTATGCTAAAGGCCTTCCTTTGACTCTTGAAGTCTTGGGTTCTTACCTTTGTGGAAGAAGTGAACTTGAATGGAATGTAGCTTTAGAGAAAATTAAAAAGTTTCCACCAAGTAGTATTCTAAAGAGACTTAGAATAAGCTATGATGCATTAGGTGATGTGGAAAAGAAAATCTTTTTGGACATTGCATGTTTTTTCAAGGGAATGGTCAAAGATCAAGTTATGCAAATATTTGAAATATGTGGACTTTATCTATTACTTGCAATAAGAGAACTTGTGGAAAAATGCTTGATAGTTGAATACTATTTTGATTATGGTACTTGGTGTTTTGGTATGCATGATATCCTTCAAGAAATGGGTAAAAGTATTATTTTGGAGCAATCACCCAATGATGCTAGTAAAAGAAGTAGGTTATGGTCAGTAGAAGATATTGACCGCATGATGACAAACAACAAAGTAAGTAGCTTATATATGTTATGGAGTGGTATTAAAATTTTCTTTTGTGTCATTGTTGAATTTGTATTGATCATTATTTCTCATCCTTAATTATTTGTCTATTTATTTTTTTTAGGGTTCTGATATGGTGGAAGTTATACATCTTCAATCAACTATGCCATATGAGGCAAATTGGGATCCTAATGTGTTCTCTATGATGTATAATCTTAGAATATTGATCATATCATGTCATGTGCACCTTCCTTGTGGTCTCAAATGCCTTCCTAGTTCTTTAAAAATTCTAGAATGGAAAACATATCCTTTGAGTTATCTTCCATCTGGTGCTTACTTAGATCAACTTGGCATCCTTAAAATGCATCATAGCAAGATTTTACAACTTTGGGAGATAAAACATATAAGAAAATTTTCTTTACGCCACATAAATAAGTTCAATTTTTTTACCAATTTTTCCAATGCTAAACATTTTCCATTTTTATTGTTTTAAGTAGATGCTGGAAAAGATGAAGTTCATTGATCTAAGTTATTCTGAAGATTTTAGTAGAACTCCTAATTTTTTTATGCTTCCTAACCTTGAGCAACTAGTTCTCAAAGGTTGCATAAAACTTGATGAGGTTCACCCATCACTTGGACAACTTAAGAAACTTGTTGTACTTGACTTGAAAGATTGCAAGAATCTTAAGGCTCTTCTACTTAGAATGGAAATGGATTCATTAAATAAATTGATCCTTTCTGGTTGCTCAAAAGTTAAAAAGCTTCTTGAGTTTGGAGAAAATATGACCAACTTGTTTATCCTTGATCTCAAAAATTGCAAAAACCTTGTTTGTCTTCTAAGGTCTACATGTAACCTAAAATCTCTCAAAAGTTTTAATATTTTAGGTTGCTCAAAATTTTCTACATTGCCACAAAATCTAAATGAAAATAAGGTCCTAAAGGAGCTTGATTTGAGTATAACTGCCATCAAAGATGTACCTTCATCCATCATTGGCCTACCAAATTTAAAGTTACTATATTTGAATGGATGTAAAGGTCTAAGTTCAAGATCCAATTCATTAGGAAGGAGCTTGCTTTCCCCAATTCGAAAAATATTTGGGTATGATAATGAAGCTCCCACAAGATTGGTGTTTCCTTCTTTCATCTCAAGTGTAGTGTCATTAAAGGAATTGTATTTAGATGACTGCAATTTGAAAGTTGGATCAATTCTAAATGATCTTGGTCATTTGTCATCACTAGAGTTACTTAGTTTGAGTGGAAATGACTTTAACAATATACCTGCTTGTAACTGGTTACTTTCATCTTTATCCTCATGTCCTTCCTCATTGAAGACTTTAAACATATGTCAATGCAATCTTAATGATGGGTCAATTCTCGAAGATCTTGGTTTTTTACCATCACTGATTCAACTTGGTCTACTAGGAAACAATTTCACACATTTACCTTCTTGTTGTATCTTTAATCTTTTTCATCTTCATACTCTTCATTTGAGTCACTGCCCAAGGCTAAAATTTTTGCCAAACCTTTCACCAAATTTACAACGTATAGATACAGATGCTTGTCATTCATTGCAACCATTATCATTTCCAGAGTTGCTACTGAAGTGCATTGCATTTGCAAATGCTTCTATGGCATATTTTTCACAAAGCCATGTATACAACATGGAATTGGTTTTCTGGTGGATTCTAGGGAATGAGATCCCATCATGGTTCTATAATCAAGACTTCCAAGTTCTTGACAAAATTGTTGGGTTTCAAGATAACTATATAGTCTGAATTTTTGAGCAAACTTGTCATGATGATGAGAATGGCAATTTCGTACATTCTAATTCCATTGTGTCAATTGAAGTAGATATCACTCATTTTCATGATTCAAGTAAAAGTTGGGGAATTTCTCTTTGTGTTGTTCTTTAAGATATAGACCTTGAGAATGACTCTAATCTTGAGCATTTGATGACTTGTAAAGCATCAGAGGATGAATTCTTCAAAAAAGAGAAAGGATGGGGTGTTAACTTTAAAGGCAATTCTAATCAAATGTTGACTATGTATTTGCCCTTAAGTAATTTTGCAATTGGTTCTAAAAGGGTTGAATGCATATTTTATACTAAAAAAATCATGTGCACTGATATGGAAAAAGAATTGGATGTGAAAGCTAATGGAGGAGGTCATGGTAAGTTTTTAATAAGCAAGTGTGGTTGGCATGTGACATGTAAGGAAGATGTGGAAGAATGGCTCAAAACAATCCAACAATCTAGCACTAGTAATATTAATGAAATCTTTTCTCAAAATTTCATTCATGGAAAGAGACACCATAAAGGGGAAGATCTACTAGAAGAAATCATTGTCAATGATGAGGAAACAGAAATATATTCAGCATGACGGAGAAAGCTTAATTGGCTTATAGGAAAGGTATATCACTATATAAGTGCTTTATTTGCTTCTCACTCTGAAACTTATATTATATAGTGAAGATAAAATGCATGCAGGCACATATAAAATAATGGATTCTTTATTTGACTTTTAAGTATAGGTTACAGACAAAAAACACAAAAAGATATAGATATGGATAATGTAATTCAATGAAACTTTTGGCTATATTTTCATTTGTGTTCTGTTACAGCATTTTAGTGTTCAATAGTTGTGCTTTCTTAGTTTTGTGTTAATCTATTCTTGTAAAATCATAATGTTTCATTCGTTTGATGATTTGTTTCATGAAGTTGTGAAAATATATAAACAAGTATTTTTCTTGGGATGGAATATCAGTGTATCAAATATGACTAGTCACAAGCATTAAGAAAAATATAATCTGACCAGAAGTTTCCTCAGGAAAAATAAATTATCGAAAGCATGGCTTGCACTTTGTTTTTCCCTATAGTTTAGGTTTTTTTGGCATCGTGCGATCCATATAATTGACTTCACCTAGTAGGATAGTATTTGTTGTTATTGTTAGGTTTCATTGGTCAATTGTTTTGTCTTTTAAATTACGTGATTTCCTTGTGTCTTGGTGCAAAGTTGAATGCTAATTTGAATGATGCAAATATCAAAGGAACTTGTCTACAAAGTGAAATAAGTAGATTACCTTATGACACTTTGAAAGGGTTACAATGTCAAGATGTGAATGCAATTATGATTTTCAAAATTATATTGCCTCGTAAGGATCATCTTTATGTTGTGATAAAAATATATCTAACACATTAAATATACTTTTCACACATTATAAAATTATATATTCAAGGTTCCATGTTGCCTTTGTTTTTCCATGGCATATGAAGAATCTTACGAATCATTTTTGTGTGTTAATCCAATTTCTATGTTAAGAAATTTGGCAATATACATGTGCTAGCAAAAGAAACTAATATACATTCCCTTTTTTTTACCATGTTTCAATCAGTAATTAGGAGGTGTAAAGCTAGATAGTGCCAATTTGGTGGGAGAACTTTACAATGATTTGTGTTTTTAACTCCTTTCAAGTGGAGAATGTTGTGATTTGTGAGAACTTTTTTTTTTGAGTAAAAGAGAAATGAGACAATTTTGGAGGAGATTTGCTATCCCAAAATATAAGACACTTTGAAAAGATTAAGGTTTTATTAAATAGACTTATTTCAATATTATCTTTTCTCTCTCTAGTTAATTTATGTCTTTCTCTCTTTTCAATGTTTTAAGTGAAGGGTATTTTTAAAAATTTATATTTTTGTTTTAAAAAATAAGTTTGTTGAGTATATTTAGTGAGTTTTATTGATATTTGAAATTTTGTTCAAAAGTGTCATATAATTTTAGACGAAATGAGTAATATAAAAGCTACTTTGGATCAAAATTGCTTCGATGACAAATCTAGGGCTTGGTGGCTCAACAAAGTTCTTGCTTCAAAGTATTCCTTCATCTCTCCTTGATGGATTTCATCTTTTCTTCATTCTTTTCATACTTAGATTGGTCGTTCTCTACAAGTTTTCTTATTAGAAATGATATAATTTCTTAGAGACACTTTTAGGATGAAATACAAAAGAAAATTATCAACTCGAACCTTAGACCACTGATTACTTTATTTTTATACAACCTATTTCTCGGAGATTAGTTGGAATTTCATGGAATTCTTTTTGCAAGGGTTTAGTTTTTCTTGGTCTACATTTTATAGATTTTAATAATGTGTTAACTTTTACAGTCTTGGAGCTCTCAAGATGCTAAATGAGGTGGACTAGATGAGAGAAAGTTGGGAAGAAGATGACATGGAAGAGTAATGAATGGCGACACCACTTCACTTAATCTTATTTCTTTGTAGAAACTAAAATGGCTACAATTATCAAGTTGTGGTTATGTATATATATATATAATATAACAATATTGCTATGAATAGGCATGAACCTATGCAGGAAAATAACTGCTTGAACCTTAATTTCAAGTCTCTTTACATCCTTATTTACATATAATTAGTGATACAACTTCAAAAGTGCAAACATAGGGACAAATTTTATAGTATTCATTATTGAATTTCATTCGTCAACAAGTTGGAACTATTGAAATGTGTGAATTTGAGGGAGCAATGTTGTCAAGTGGGCCATCGCTTCACTAGAAAAAGGTACATAGAAACTAAAGAAACTTCTTAGCATATCATTATATAATCCTCCCCTATTTTTCATATTCTTAAAACAAAAAAAGGATATAAATTATAAATTTATAAGTTACTATAAGTGTAAAATTATAAATTTGTTAGTAATAGGTTTTCTGTATATATTCTATGGTTTGAAAACGTTACAACTTTAGGTGATATGGTCGATGATGTGTAGGGTGTGGCACTGACAAATGGTTCCAAAAGTGAAATACTTGATAATAATAGGAGGGGCTAACGTATTTAATAATTAGATTTTATAATTCAGGCCGAATGGATTTCAAAGATGCAAAGAGCTTTATATTTTTTATTGATGATTACTAAAGTTTAATTAACAATATAATTTTAGGGAATAATATATTTTAAATTGAATTGTCAAAAGTCAAAATGCCTTTAAAGATAGTTGTAAATAGTTAAATTTCAAGGAATAATAATAATAATAATAAATCTAAAATTCAATCTCTTGGAAGAAGCACAGGTACTTTTCAAAAAAAAAAAAAACCTGAAAGACATGTTTCAGGATGACTATGATATCCTCTTATACTCTAATTTTGAATTTATTTTCATGTCATCCTATGATAATCTTGTGGTTTAGGACTTAATTTTTTATGTGGTTTGGCTTATGTTTGGGCTGTGTAGCAACTTGAACTTATGATATTGAATCAGATTGTTTGACTTGGATTGGTTCCCCATCTTTTAATATCCTTGAAGTGTATGGAATCAATGTGGTGAGATTAGATTGGTCATTTGATTATGATTTTGTATTTGGAGATTGGACTCTAATATGTGGATTTTGGGCTATGTTTGGTATTGGTTCTATGTCTTGGAAGAGCTTTTATTGTTGTTGAGTTGATGGTTGTTATTTTAAGGCAAATGGTTTGTGATTAAATTGGTTTGGCTTGATTCTCCAATTGTGTTCTATCCTCTTTAACCAAAAAAATTGAGGTGCCATTTATTACATTAGTAGGCACGAACCTACTTGGTGGTTCATAGGGGCATATGTCCCCACAATATGAAAAAATAAAAAAAATATACTAGATGACCCAAAACATTTTCTATGCCCCCTCCCCCGAAAAATCTAAATTGCCCCATCTTAATAGGAAAAAATTCATTTGTCCTCTTAAAAGTCTCACTCATCCCTAAAAAATTTAATGAACTCAGGTCTAATTAATATGTTATAATAGAGTGGAGGAACTAATAATTTAAAAAGTTAATTTCTTTATTTGGTCAAGTAAAAAATTCCTCTACAACACAAGAGATAAATAAATTTTATTTATATCCAGACAATTTTATTTAATACATCATTATAATGTTATTCTTTATACCTTATTCTTTGGTAATTAATTTTAATAAATTTTTACCTCTAATGTAATTTAATGTTCAAAATTATATTTTTAAGAATAATTAATATTATTTTAAGTATCAATTTTGCCCCACTAATCACTATTTAATTCCATCGCTGTGTATTAGCATGCATGCATATTTATGGTTTTATAATATAACTAATTGGCATTATGCATCATATAATCCAATTTAAAAGTGATATAGAATATGATTGATAGTATAACATTATAAAAGAAAAATGTTGATCCAATGATTGACAATATAATTATATTGGAATTAATATTGTCATAATGAAATTAGGATGGAATGTATGACATGATTATTGGCCATGATGGATTTGGCTATGATATAATAAGACTGGAATGAATATTGTATGAGCTGTGAATTGCTAGTATGAGATTTTGTTGTGTTAGAATGATATGCATTTATATAGTCTTTATATATCATGGGGTATAATGCCTTTTATCCAACTACACTCCACCAAGTATAGCGGTGTTGGGACATTTATCCTCCTATCAATTATAAGTCTATGACCATGATCATGTGATAGGGTGTAAAGTTGCAATCGTGCTTGTTATTGAGAGGTCATAATGACTGTGCCTAACAAGGATGTTAGCATTCTTTAGAAAATTTATTTCAATCCTTATTACTTGCTTTGAATGTGAAATTGTTTTAGCATTCTTTTAAAGGAGTTTCATAATTGGATTTAACTTAATCATTTATCCATTCTTTCATGTTTTGTTTTGCTTTAAAAAATTTTAAAATACAAAAACTTTGATAAATATCCAATTCACTATTCTTTTGGATGTATTGCTATTCCTAACACTAA